GGGGGGGGGGCGATTCAATTTGCTGCAGTAAGATCTAATCTGAGCTCTGCTGGTGCCACAGGCATTCCATGGTGTCCAGAGGTAAGAGAAATAAAGTTTACCCGATTGATGTCACTCCACTGCTGATGGGGACTGCTGTGGGACTCCAGATGATACATGGGAAGATCTAGAGCTGACCTTGGGCCACAGATAGCTCACATAATAGTCTGCTTCAAAGCTCACCTCTTGGGATCACTTATGCGCCAACATTATCGTACGGTATACATGTGCTGTGAAGTCTGAGCACAAGGTTGAGAGAAACAGAGATATCAAGACAGCACGTGCACTTCTGCCGTCTGCTTTTGAGTTGAACAGACGGAACAGACTGGCAAAGTGCTGGCTGAAAAATGATATATTATTTGTGTCATTAAAAGGAGTTGGTTGAACAGTAATATGAGAAAGTGGTCCCTTTATCAACGACAGTGGATCCAGTTCTTCATGCACAGCAAACCCGTCTGAGAGTTGGTGAGTGCTTGGCAGAGCGTGTGAATCGTTCTGAATGTAGATATTAATCAGGATACGGTGTTAGACAGCTGCCACCCTGGGAGCCCACAGCTCTGGTGTCAAATCCCCTTCAGTAATCACAGAAGGAGTGGGATACTTTGCTCGGGGAGTGTGCGTCCCCGAGCATCACACAGTTCGCGACTGATGTTTTGGCAGATGCCCTTGTCAAAAAATATCATAATGCAAGCTGCTAGTGTGAATCAGTGCGCACACCAATCTCCTGTGAATGGCATTTGACAGAGTTAGCAGATGTACATTGGAAGTACCTATGGTGATGCTGCCCAATGGGAGTATCACTCTAATGTGCAGTATGAGAGTTAGCAAAAGCTAATATTGCGAGTGGAAGGCCAAAAGAACAGGAAGAGAGACAGACTAGAAAGTTGATAGTCTTTGCTGTGGGGCAGACATTAATTTAGTGGAGGTTTTTTGACCACATACTGATCGATAGCACATCTAGATGGAGTGGGGGGCCTTGGGTCTGGACTTAATTGTTCTCTGTGCGTCTCATCACTTCAAAATGCATTTGAAAATCCTTCTACTCAAAGGCGGGAGCAAGGGTTAGACTTAATTGCCTTCCGTGTGTGGCAAGGTAAGAGATTAAAAGTTTGGCTGCATTGCAGGGAACAGACATATATACAATCCTAATTTGTCAGAGTAAAGCTAATAAGAACCAGGGGAACAGGGAGTGCTTCCTTTTGTTTAAACATATCAGGGGTCTTGAACACACAATAACAACTATGGACAGAAATATATTTGTGCCACAATCATAAACTCAAAGGGGTGTCATGTGCAGCTAACGTGAACAATAGTATAGGAAACAACAGGATGAACTCCCACTGCTCGCTGTGAAATAAACAGCAGTGGGAACCCTCTACACACTTCACCCACTCCTCTCTGGGTTTACCTCTCTGTACATCAGAAAATGCTATGTGCTGACGATGAAAAAATATGTGCACAATTAAAACACAGCAATAACAGCTTCTTTGACACATACAAAACACCTTAACCAGGTGTGAACTACTAGTTATGCGTGCAATTCTCAGTGACAGAGCTGTTCTGATTAAAAGTACTGGTGTTGGGTGCGTTCTATCTCAAAGCCAAAGAAGAGGAAGCTAATATCTCTAAACTCATCAGTGTACGAACTAAAAATTTGCATCTTATGTTGAACATTTTGAAAAATAAAGAAATTTGGGACTTTTTTGTTGTTGCTGTAAGTTACTGTTAAGAGTTTTGATATCATATCTGTGTCGTAAGTGATTCTACAACCAGCAGCCAGTTAGCTTAGCTTAGCATAAAGACTGGAATCAGGGGCTAACAGCTAGCCTGCCGCTGTTCAAAAGTACACCAATTAAAAAAAAAGGTAAGTAAATAATGTTTTAATTATTGAGCTTCAGAGGTGGTAGTTAGCGCACTTTGTTGCCTTTGTACAGAGCCAGGAAAGATGGTTTCCAATGTTTATGTTAAGCTAAGCTAACCGGCTGCTGACTGTAACATCATATGTAGTGCACAAATATGAGAGTGATGTTGATTTTATCAAAATTGTAAAATAAAGCATATTTTAAAATTTTAAACTATTGCTTTAAGCAATTGTAGTTAAAATGTTAGCCCAGCGGACCTTCCATGTTTAGATAGTCAATTGCAGCCGAAGGCCCTTCAGATTTAAAAAATAAAAAAAAAGTTTTACTGCATTTATATTGTTCCTGAACATTGAAATATAAGAACCAGTAAAATCATACTCTGTGGCAGGATGGAAGCTTCCCAGACAGACCTAATGGATAGCCTCTGGCTTGCTGTATTATGTGGTCGGCGGTAGCCAGAAGAAGAGTAACTCTGCCTCTGAGAAGTGTTCAAGCCCTAACTGAAGCTCCACTCTGCTCATTTAAACAGTGTGCGTTAGCCTAGAGTGTCTTGGTGGGGGCGGACTATGACACACAGAGACACGGTGACACACCCAGAGAGAAGTAGAATAAAAAGAGATGACTAACCTAACCCACCTGAGCTCGGCTCACAGGGATCAATGTCTTCATCATCGCTCGGACACTCGGCTGATGCCACCAGCAAGTCGTCGGTTGTCTGAAAAGAGAGAAGCACACAGTAGAGCGGTGAGGGCATGAAATACTTAGCTGCATCAACGGGGTAAGATGGCTCCCACTCAGAGCTACCAGTAATGGTGTTTCCAGAGGGTTAGCTTGAGGACAGCGGGGCAGATGAGATGTGAATCCAGACAGCGACACTGTTTGGCTGCTGGATTTATCTGTCAACACGGTCACACGCTGCCTTGCGCTGTAGCAGCTGCTGCACTGCTTTCCAGGCAACACTATCCTTACAGAAAATGAGATCTGATTATTGAGGAACAGTGGAGGCTAAAGTTCACAGCACAATTGTCAACTTGCATGCTCAGTTTGTGCCGCAGTGTGTGGCTTTGCATGGCCCTTCAACGGATTGTTAAGAGCCATCACAGAACACCTCTTGACATTTAGAAGACAAGCAGCCATGAAAGCTTAAAGCAAGAGATTGGAAAACAAAGGGCAGAGCAGCAGAGCTTTAATCAATATAATTAATTTCGATGTGATTCAGTATCTCTTTTTCAAAATGAGCAAATAAATAAAAAATCATTGCATATACTCTACAGAGGTGTTTAATTATTCACACCAAAATCCATTTTAGACTACTTTCAATGCACGTCATCACCCAACCAACACAACACATTTGACCCTCTTGAAAAATGGGAAAGGGCAAACAAAAGACCAGAAACAAAGTATACTGTAAAACATTATACTGCAATGTTCTTTTATAGTCTTGCTTCAAGCCATTTGATCAGCTCTGCGTTAAAGGTCATTTCATTTAAGCATGGCAGCCTCTTCAGGGCCGGGTTAGATTTTCGGTTATGGAGCGCTGCTAAGCAGAATAACCTGCTGCTATACATTTAGCCTTGCACCTCTACTTACCCTCTTTGTACTAATACTTTTAAAACCTCTAATGCAAGACTGACAACATTTACTGCACTTACATTGTCATACTCTCTGGTATGGATGTGTATGACAGCCACAAAATAAAAAAAAGAGAAGGGGTGAGAAATGCATTAAGCCGCAAAATTGAAGATGGACCTGGGGTTTTATTCAATTTGTGCCATTATTTCACTGATGTTTGACTGTCCATCAAACTATATCTGCAAGTTGAATTAGTATTGACTCATCTTAAGGAAATTAAAGGTGATGTCATTTGCTTAACATCCATTTGGCTTCATATAATGCAATTTTATTGTGACTGTAACATCATTTGGACATTCTGGACACGGACCAACATCATCTTTACATAATAGACCTGAAAATGATAGATCAAACCCATTAAGGGAGTTGTGGTCGGAGGGCTGTTTTTGGTGCATCTGTGCTGGGTGAGGCCCGGGGAAGCCGACCAAATGTATATTTAATTTGCTGTGCATGAGGCTGATATACAGTGTCGGCCATCCAGATGGCAAAACTGCCGGATCCTGGAGTGCCACATCCATCACTTCAGCCTTGTGATTTGTTTTTCCTGGCGGGAGATCTTGACACTCTGCACTCACTGGCAGAGGTACGGGAATCAAGTAATCAATACTCCCTCTCTCTTCTTCCCACCTTACCATGCTCATGCTCATTCTCTCTCACTCTCTCTCTCTCTCTCTCTCTCTTTTCAACTCTGTCCTTCAGATTTATTTGCAAGCAGAGAGGAGGAAGCAATGTGATGTGGGTATACTAGATGTAGGTTAACTCCCTATAGAATAACTTGAGTGGAGGTGTATGCCCATTCATATTTCCATGTTTGTTTCCTCATTCAGGTCAGACAGCTACAGCCTGAGGCCTTCAACTTCATCACCACAGCAAAATGCAATAACGAAAATGGATATTTGTTTATCTCTTTAACGGAGAATCTTTGATTTTATGATTAAAAGGTCCAGACATTGTATCCAGTCTTTTATGAGATGAATCTGCAATTCAAAGCTTAAATTCTGTAAAAAAATCATTCTGCCCTTTAAAACTCTGCATTACACAGACATTCTGAAATAACTGTAAGGAACTGAAATGTGAAATGTGGCACTGCACCTTGATTGAGATTTTCAAACAAGCAACAGGGAACCATGATGCATAACTGTCATAGCACCGCCATAAAGAAATGTCATTTCACCCTCCAAGGACAAAGGCTGTGTGCAGTTCTGTGTAAGTGTAGCTCAATTGTGCCTGTAAGCCACTTCTAAGTCCAATCCTTCTTAGATCTTATCAAAATATCAACCCTATGCTTTACCTTTAAATTAATATTGTGTGTATAGTGGATGTAAGCCTATGAATCAAGGCTAAAATGAATTTGCATGTTACTGGGCGTCAGTCTGCCAGCCAGGATTAGTGTGTAGGTCAACATTTTGATGTGGTCATGACCTGGTTGAAATCCAATAACATTACCAATTCACGGTGTCCTCCTCCAATGCTTGACTTCTTTTTCAGCCGTGACAATTCAATGTGGGCTATGTGAGGGGCTTACCATGCAATTTAGCCACTGTGATGAAAACTGACTGGTAGCTTGGGTGGGATGTCTGGAAAGGACACTGGCATCTTTGGATATCTTTTCTTTTAAAGGAGAAATAACACAGGCTATGCATGTGGTGATTTTGAGTTAAAAATAAAAGAGGTTTCCTGATCTAAATGGCACCTTTTTTTTTTACGTTTTCCAGAAATACTGTATGTGTTTGGGAGAGTTCATTAGCTCAGCAGAGTCAGGTTTACTGATGCGTAGAGCATCATGCCCACAGGAAAGATGCTCCAATAGATAAGCGAATAAACAAGATGTACCTGTAGTTCATTTTATGAAGGTACTTCCAAAATGCTAAAAGCAAAGGCCCTGGGCTTGCAAAGCCTCATTAATCTAGCGGTAAAGTGCTGAAGCCATGGTGAACCTAAAGCACAGCTCATTTATCTGCCTGCTCAGAGCAGCAGAGAGCACACTCCTATGAGATGTACTGAGGAAACCTGGGGAGACAGTTGGGAGTATGAAACACACAATAATGGAGGAAAAAGAGATACTGGAGAGAGAAACCTGCTTTTAGTGTTCATACAAAATGTATGAACATGTTCATAGTTTCCAGGTACAGTGTCCTTTCAAATTCTTTATGTGTCGGGGGAATTTTAGATACAAAGACAAGAGAAGAAGAATAAATCTTGTTCGACTTTATAGCGGAGTAAAGTTATTGACTGACCTTGGCTCATGCACTGATTGAACCATCAAAGGGGATGTGGACCAGGAAATTCCAACCTGACTCAGCCAAAGGCGCCCTGGTGCTTTCTTTAGCACTGTCACGGCGGTTTTCGATCTCTGACGATTGATAATAGTCCTCCTTAATGAGATGTCCCGGCGAAGCCGTGGTCTACATGCAAGCTCACGAAAGCCTAGTCAGCAGTGTCATTCTGCTAGACGCCAGGTTATCTACAACCCTGCAAACACTGATCTGTTCCCTACTAATGTAAACTACACAGTGTCCAACACCGCTTTCTAATATCTACTGTATGGAGTAGGTGGCTTTGCTTTAATGCTCTACATTTGTACACGTCTGCCCTGATCGCATGTTTTCCCCTCTTAGTCTTGGCAGGGAGAGAGAGGAGGGGGAGGACTGCTCTTCAGAGAGGAGGCTGTGTGCAGCTAACCCGGTGCTCGAGAGCAAGAGACACCTTCTCTGTGATAACCTGTCGGCATGTCTCTACGGAGAGCCGTGGGTTTTCACATTGTTTTCTCTCTGGTCTAATTTGATGAATGCTCTCTGGCACAAAACATGTCTCTTTGGAGACGAGCTGAAAGTCAGGAGGACACTGAAGGCATCTGAAGGGTTTATCCGAACCATGCCTCTGCTGTCCCGGTAATGTATTCCACTGAGGATGCTTGCTATTTTCTTTTGCCTCTCTCCTTTTCTATTCCCCCCTCGTAAGCCCTGTTTTTGTCCAATATAAGCTCTTGTTTTCCAAATCTCTCTCTCTCTTGTTATATAGCTGATCTGTAACAATAATACAATTGATGTTTTTTTTTAACTCAATGTCTGTATTCTGTTGCTTATCGAGACTTGGTGTAAATCCCAATACTTTTTCAGAATGCAAAAAATGCTGCGCTATTATCAGCCAGTCGATTCTGGGTTGATTGAAAAATCTAATAGCAAATGGCTTTGCTCCACGCTATCGCAACACATAAAAAAAAAACTTTCTGTCTACTAAACTGCAAGCAAACCTGCAGATTCTGCCTCTTAACTTCTTATCTTTCTCTGCGTCTGATCCTTCATTTCCACAGCTCATTTGCTCATACTGCACACAAGCCATTACATGTAAGCGCCCTACTGAATAACCGTTCCCTGCGGTCTGTCACTATTTTCGGACCATACAAGGGAGAAATCACTGATAGAGGTGGACTGCACAAAGGTCTTATTTTTTTCCAACATGTAGAATGTTATCTATCATAGTGCTTGAAATGATCTTTTATTCTTATCCCACTTTAAATGCCAACAGAGCAGGTTTTAGAATCATATTGTTTATGAAAATAAAAATCAGAGCACCATTTTTCTACTTTTTTGTTTTCATGTATCTAACCAGAAGGGCAGTGCAATGCCAGAAAAAAAACCACTAACTGCTACATGATGTTTCATACTGTTCTTAATATTGTCCTCATGTTTTTATATTATCTCATGATAATCCCGGATAAATCATATCAAGGTTACTCTAGGACTCCACTTGAAGCCAATGCTATAGGTGTTACATATATCTTGTCTGTAATTGGCCCTTGAAGCCAAAGCTCCAACTGCCTCTAAAAGCAGGGGAATCAGTATTCTCTATATGTTGCTGTTCGAACCGTGTGCCATTATTTCTCATGCTGGCCCTGATTTACGATAGTGCCCCGCTAGTGTCCAGACCTGACCAGAGTTGCAGTCTGCACAGACTAATTGGGAGGAGTTTGTTGTCCTAAGCCTCACTCTTGCAGCAACACATCATTAGTGTGCCAGTGAGAGAGAGAGGGGGAGAGAGGGAGGCGATGGGACGGCAGATAGAAGCGACTCGTGGTTAGAC